AGTGTGTGTGTGTGAGAGAGAGAGAGAGAGGTGCATGTTTGTGTGTGTGTTTGTGTGTGTGTGTGTGAGAGAGAGAGAGAGGTGCATGTTTGTGTGTGTTTGTGTGTGTGTGTGAGAGAGAGAGAGAGATGGGTGCCACAGAGAGAGAGAGAGATGGGTGCCACAGAGAGAGAGAGAGAGAGATGGGTGCCACAGAGAGAGAGAGAGAGAGAGAGAGAGAGAGAGAGAGAGATGGGTGCCACAGAGAGAGAGAGAGAGAGAGAGAGAGATCAACACCCTCTGTGCCTGTTCCAGTTCTCCCTGCAAATGAACCATTTCACTGAGAATTTTTGATCGGTATAAAGGGAAGACCCCCAGAGAAAGAATGAAGCCGAGTCATATTTCCTACAACCAAGTCAAAAAATCCAAAACTTCTGTTGCTGTCATAAAGAGCTATAGACAACTTAAAAAATTGGTGATAACCACACCGGTACTCAGGCTCCCGTTCACTGCACCTGCAAGCTCCGAGGGCAGTGACAAGGAGTTCGCCTTCTGCAAACACTCCAACTAAACAACAGAGAACCTCAATCAGCAGAGTGGTATATGGCAAGTACGAGAATCAATACAGGTGGATTATTGGCCACCTTCGTCATTTTGCCCCCCTTATCGACATACATACTATTTGCCACAAATGTGGCACATGGAAAGGACAAAGCCATCCCCTCAAAGCTCGTGGTAGGAGGAGATTGGCAAGGTCAAAACAAATAGGATTAAAGACGCAACACAATCTCAAAAAGTCAATCGCAGGAACTCCCCATCACCTCTAGAGCTGATGTTGACGACTGAACGTCTCCATCGTTATTCTGTATCCGCTCCCTTTCCCATTCATGGTCCAGTTGCAGATGATGTGCTCGCAAGCTGCACTCCTCTACCTGTGACAGAACCAGAATTGGTTACCAAACACAAACAAAAGATCCACCGTACGGTCAGGTCAACAGTATTTTGAGCCTATTCACAAGTTCGCCATGACAAATGAATTTCGTCGATTAGCATTCCTAAGGGAGGATTACCTGAGAATAGCAAACGACATCACAACACCTCCAGCGCCTCCGCCAGTTCTCCCTGTGAATGAAGCCACTTCACTTACAATTTCGTTCAGCGAAAAGGGAAGGCTCTGGCAGAAATTCCAGTCCGTGGACAAGGGGATGCGTGCATACGTGTGCTGAAGGGTGTTGTCAAAAAAACGCAAACTCTCTCTCTCTCTCTCTCATTCGATCCACAAACCATCTCAGACCATGCATTAAGAAAAAGGAGAGTATAGGTGGCCAATATAATAGATGACACAAGGTTCCCGATGTTTGTGGAGTTGAGCAGGAAGTGCCCACACACCCGTCTGCCACCAAAGCGGCACAGTTGCACAGATACAGTATAGTTTTTCATCTATAAGGAAAAAAAAATACAGGGAAGGGCAAGTGCCCACTCATCTGTCTGCTGCCGAAGCATACAACTCAATTCTACCACACAAGATCACATACCAGGCACAGATCCAAATATTTGTGCTTACATCGATGAAGGGAAAAAGGCAACACGCCTAACAAATTATATACATGGAGAACAAAGAATAAGTGCACCACAGCACATAAGGCTCTACCATCAAGAAAGCACCACCGAGCTCCAAAGAAAGCACCCACCGAGCCCCCATTGGTCGAAAAGAATGAGGCGAGCCCTCTGCGTAGACTCACAAAGCCACACTCCACAGAATCTCCACGCGACACGAGGAGCACTACTGCGCAAAACACCATAGAAGCTCCACCATCTTCCATGTGCTCCAAAAAAGCAGCCCGTGGGAGTGACACCCACAACAAAGACTCTCTTAGCCTCCTCACGAAGATACTGTGGCCGTGATTCCATACAAACATTCCCGCCCAAAAAAGCGCGAGAGCTTTGGACTGCCACCAAAACAAACCCTTCCCCACTTGAGAGCGAGAGATTGCACATTGCTTAGCAAAGTGAACACGGTGGTTTATAGTCCACAGTCACGTGTATGCACGTGTGTGGCATTTGGGAGGAGGAGAGGGTATGCAGCGTGCCCCAAGAGAGTTTCAGAGGCAGCATGCCTGCACGCCCCATAAACTTCAGGTACAAACAGAGATGCAGCGTGCCCCAAGAGAGTTTCAGAGGCAACATGTCCAGAGGAGTACCCCTCCTAGATGCTTTTGCTGACTGGGCCCTGGCTATAGGGATATGCTATTGTAACAAAAGTTCAACATGAGAAAATTACAGAGTACTTCCGAGTGTATTATTGCTAATGTGCTTTATTCAATTTGTATTGCCTGGGTTTCTCAAGGCCTCAGGTTCTTCATGCTTTGCAAATGATATCTTTTTTTGTGCATAATACACAGGTATCAATAGATTATTATAGAATAAACACATTTCCAATCAGACAATATAACAGGAAAGCACAAAAGGTAGAAGGGGAACGGGTGAGCACAGTAGAGAACAGTATCTCACAATGTCACAATTAGTCAGGGTGAAAACACGAGGTAGTCCAGAGTTGGTTCTACAAAGCATACAACGTATTGAGCTAACACACCTCCAGCATTGCTGCTGCAGACAGCAACTCTCCGCACTCTTCCAAGAGGGCTCGCTCTTGTCTTACCACCTCTGCAAGCTGTGACAACAGTGATTCTGTGCTCTCGACCTGCATATGAGCATATGATTCGATATGATTAGACAGAAAAGATTCAGACATCACATTTGATAATATGGATATTGACGACTACATAAAGATGGACCAACAAGGTTAGATCCAAGAATGAACAGGGCGGGAATAATGAGACCATTGCACAGCAATCAGACAAGAGAGAGAAACAAATGTTGGCAGAGTGGACAAGCAGAGGGTACGGGAATTGCATTTTTTGTTGACCATGACACTTCTCTCTCTCTCTCTCTCTCTCTCTGTGTGTGTGTGTGTGTGTGTGTGTGTGTGTGTGTGTGTGTGTGTGTGTGTGTGTGTGTGTGTGTGTGTTTGTGTGTGTGTCTCCCCCTCAACGCCTGTGTGGTTGAATTGAGGGTGCCCAAGCAGCAGTTATTCCGCCTACCCCTTTTCGAACACAGACACATGGCACCTGGCACCTGGCTGCCTTAAGCCTTGTGCTTGTGGGTAGGTGTGTCTGCTCCTACATAGGGACCCCGGAGACTTACCTAACAAAGACCAGACAAAGCACGTGTGCAAGTGAGAAACAGCAGCCACATTTCCATTGCCACGGCAATCACTAGAAGTTGCAACCACCATTTTACTGCTTGCTTTTGTATGTGACAAATATACATAAAGATTGGGCAACAGAAATGTTGCCTCAATACATTTGCTTGTCACTCTACCCAACATAAAATAAGTTCAATCACTGATGACCATCGACACGGCACCATGTTATCAGCCACCAAAAACCAGATGTCGACTACAAAGTTGCGCATGAGCCGTCAAGCCCACCATCTGCCTTGCTCGTTCCACGCAGGCGACCTTGTTTGGGTCCGCCAGCCTCGAGCAAGACATCTCTCACAAGCTCCTTCCAAAATAGATGGGGCCTTAGTGCATCCTACCACCCACTAGTGGCGCACTGGAAGGACCTTCAGGACCCAGCCCACTTGCCCATCCACCCGGTCTTTAATTGTTCAAAGTAAGATCTGTTTGTTTCAGCGGAACACGACGACTTTCCCGGGCGACGATCGCAAGACCCACCCTCCATGGTTTTTAGAAGGTCAACGACATCATTTCCCAGCTACGGCAACAAGCTGATCAAGTACTTAGTACATTTTTCCTATTGTAGCCATACAGCTGACCGTTGGTTGACCCTTGCAGAACTCCACGCAACAGCCCCTGAAGTCCTCGCACGTTATGAACGGAAGCAGCAAGGCAAGCCGGCGCCTTCGGCTCCACGCCGTACGCGCGTCCAGGTTTCAACTTCGGATCGCCAGCTTCGCCCTCAAGCCAGCTTGACTTCATAAGGAGGGGTGAGTGTTACATGCTGAGCCTACACACCGGCCCCGTTTCGGGGGCCCGGCAGTTGCTGGGGGGCCCCAGGCCGCACACCATTCAGGCACACGCCCTGGAGGCCCACGGCCAGCCATAGGGCCGCAGGATTCAATTTGAGGCAGCATTCATTTATTTATTTATTTATTTGCTGTCGTATTTGACTGTTCAGGCGTCGTTTCGGACTCGTAGTTCGTCCGAACAGACTTTTGGTCTTTTCGGACAAAGGCCACGTTTTGGGCCTTTTTCTTTCGCAGGCAGGCCCTTTCTGGCCACGTAAGTGTTTGTCCAGTCGCGGACACTCCCTGCTGCATCACCAGGGAGGGCCTGGACGTCCGGTAGGGACCCAGGCAGGCCGTTTCAGTCCATGACCAGAGGCACACCAGCAAGGCCCAACGCTACACATAGCTGGGCCAGGCCAGGGCAAACACACTGTTCGAGTACCTCACTTCTTGGGCGACACGCTGCTGGGGCAGCTCAACACAGTGCGCTAGAGGTAGAGTAGGAGGTAGAGAGGCAGAGAGAGAGAGAGGCGGCGGACACACCTGCATTGGCGAAGTACCTACCTGGGCGCCATAGCGGACTTCTCGCCAGCGACGTGCAGCACAGAGAGATGCGCGCCAGTAAGTTAGTACGTGGCGGCAGTTACCTGCAGGTGAGACGGAGAGGAGGACGACATCTTATTCTTCCTCCAGTTTTCACCCTCCATCCTCTTCTTTCAGAGAGAGAAAAAGGTTACAGGCAGAAGTTGCATCTGATTCGACATTTTTGTGGCAGACATTGATTGGACACTCTGCAGGGAGATTATTTTTGGACTTCGCTATCACGATCTATTCTCCCTCATCTCCATCTTCGTCACGCCTCTTCCCCCATCTCCTCATCCGTGGCATCTCCCCATGTGCGTGATGGAGGAGGGACCTTCCGTCTATGTATGCCATCCCTCCTCTCTCTCTCGTATGTGTGGTGTATGATGGGATGTCGCATCAGTATCTGTCAGGTCAGGTCATATCTTCCGCTGCGCTACATTGTGCTATTTTCACATATATCTGGATGTACATTGCTTGTTGATGCTTTGCTGACGCTGCATTGTCCATTCGAGTCCTTTTCATCACTTTGCGGATCCTTGGCTCCATATACATCACTCGACTGACCATGTATCAAGCAGGGACTACTAGGAAGTAGAAGGTTACTAGAAATGAGGACGAAGAGAAAGGAGACTAAGAAGAAGAAGAAAGACTAAAAAAGAACAAGCAATGTGAAGAAAAAAAAGCTGACCTTCGCTCCATTCGTGCGTGGCACAACAGTCTCCAATGGCGGAGGTAAGAACGGCGCAGCAGAGGTGACGGGGCATGCGGAGGAGGTTACACAGCAGTAGTGACGATGGTGGCTGCAGCGTGATGATGACTGCCACATGCAATCTCACGGGGCGGGCAGGGCAAGACTGGCAGGGCTGACAACGGCCTTCGGCAGGATGGCCAGGTTTCAAATTTGAAACATGGAGCTGCCCACCATCGATCTGGGATGATCAATGGCCCAGATTGCAAAAAACAAAAGAGTGAAATGTGGCCTTACCGTTACCAGCCCTGAAAAAAAAGAGCGCCCGCTAAATTTTCGTTTGGCCTCCAGGCCAATCAACGGCGGCGCAAAAGAAAAAAATTGAAGCGTGTTTGGCGTTGGCGCTCCATCAGGCCGACCTGGGGTGTCGCCCGGCCGAGCGCCCCGAGCGTCATTCCGGGAGCCGCGGGGTACCCCGTGAGCCCGGATTGGAAAGCTAGACACTAACAACAAAAAAAAAACATAAAACACCTTGCTCTTCCAGTTCTGAAGTTGAAGTGATGCCTTGCATCCATGATCAAAACTGTTGGTCAAAACTGTAAAGGCTCTCATGTAAGGAGATGGGAATTCCAGTGTGGTCTGATCTAGCACAGCAGTGAGCAGGCACTCACAACGTGCACAAGTGCACACAAACACATACACATGGCACAGAGAGGGGCAGACAGAAAACAGGGTCACAGACTGACAGAGACAATCAAGGGGACATTTGTCCAGCATAGGGACATTTCTCCAGCCAATAACTCGTAGCCGAACGACACTGCCAAAAATCAATCCGCCATCCTTCACTTGGGTGGGCATTTTCTTAATGATTTGTGACTGGGTGGAACATAGTGTGTTCGCATTTTGGATTACAAAATACTTGCCTTCGGCAGCAGTGCATTCATGCTCGGATTCACTGCATCCATCACCTCAGTAGCACTCGCCAATAGAGACGTCATACTTCCAACGTTAGCCTGTTCGAAGGGTCAGGGAAAAAAAGAATAGTCAGCCAAACTACACAGGAAGGTCGCAGTGAAAATTTGGTTTTGTCATCACTGGGGTGTTTCTGCACCCACCAAAAGCAGCCCAAGTCCGGGCTCTTTCTTGTTTCTCAGTATTGTTGGTGGGAGGAGGTAGGCGGGCAAGGGGGTATAAACAGTGTTTCAAGGGGTGTGAATTATATTATATCTTTATTTTTTTAGTCTTCGATTCACTAAGGAATTTTGGGGTAACCCTCAGCCAAAAGATGTTTGCATTGCAATTCTACAGAACATATTTTTTGATTTTCGTCTCTATTTCGTGGTGGGACTGGCTGGGACCTGGCCAGGAGGGGCCGGGTGAGGGGGTATAAACAGGGTTTCAAGGTGTGTGCCTTAGATTATTATCTTCAGTTTATAGTCTTCGATTCAATAAGGAATTTTCGGGTGACCCTCAGCATTGCAATTCTAGACAACCTATTCTTTGATTTTCTTTTCCTATTTCGTGGTGGATCTGGCCAGGACCTGGTCAGGAGGCCGCGTCTTACCGGAACCAGCCCGGGGCGCCCCTGAAGGCATGCCAACTATTCACACAGTTAATATACCGATTCAAGTTACTCTGGCTCTTCCATTGAAACAGCTGGGCATGGTGAACAGGCATAAAGTCTCCCTATCTTCAGAGACTCTAGCAAAAATAATCATGCATACACTGTCACGCAAGCAAACTAAGATCCAACCCAATCTAACAGAAGACAGACAAAAAGTTCGATCACATCATTCATTTCAGAGACTGGCAACGGAATGGAAAAGAAGGTGCAAGAGGTGTCAGGGGAGCCTTCGCTTTTGATAGATGTTACTCACAGCAAAGAAAGAGAAAACGAGGACATCGAGAACAGTCTTCAGGTACACAATATCACTTGCAAAACCTCAAACCCACAACAGTAACTTGGAAACAGCAATTGTTGGGCGTAGGCAAAATACCTTAGCGCCATTGACAAGTGGAACTTGTCGCATAGCTGTCTCCAATGCTTCAATAGCTCCACCAAAACAAGTCGTATGCTCCTGCCTGATCTCGGTCCACTCTTCCAGCCTCGCTGCCTGGCAGGAGATTGCAGAGTATCAGCCGTTGATTTTGATGACTGCATCAGGCAACAGACATCAATCTTATGGAGGCCACAGTCTTGAAATCCTAGCCCCCAAATCCCAACAGTGCACACAGGGTGAAGGGCAAGGGTAGGGCAACACACTTAGGCCTGCAGCCAGCTGTCTACATGGACGATTTCCCCTGACAATGGACCCTCTACACCGTCCCAGGGTGAACGCTCACACACCAGCTCCAGAATCTCGTACAGCCCTGGATCGGATGGTCAATTCTGATGCTATAGTCAGTATCGCCACATCCACATACATTGAATATCACCTCCTGCCACAGAGATAAGGCCCAGAATATGATTCTTGCAAACAGAAGGGAATACACAGTGACAACCCGAAACTATGTCGACCAGCTGACACCTCTTAGGTCTACCCCACCACACCACTTCACCTTCCCCTCGTGCTGCAGCAACCCTCCTCGTCACCCCTGTAATCGCCATGCCACCATCTCTTGAGGCGGTGATGGCCTCTCAACCACTCCACTCACCTAGACAGTGCACAATCACCCAGACACCTCCACATCCTGTTCAACTCCCGGGCACGCCCAAACATAACACCTTTACCAACACCCACCAGCATAGCCCAGTACCTCCCTTTCTCCTCACTTTGGTAAACCACGACTATCTCCCAACTTAATGCAACATCCACTGGAAACCGGCACCCCAGTCAAGCAGACAGCTCCTCAAGATCGATCCAGTTCCCTGGAGACACCCGGCACCACAACTCCCCGTCCACAAAATCTGCTCTGTTCCAAAATCACCTCCACACCTGGACCCCACATCTCCACCACCCAGAACCCACCATGATAATCATAAACATTGCCCTGGCCTTGCTCCACACACTGACCACAACTCAAGCTCACCCATGGCTACTCCGATCACTTCCCTCTTCATGCCAGTCAAAATATATTGTCACAATCCCCTACGTTGTCCTAAATTCCCTCCACACACTCACCAGAACTCAAGATCACCCAATGCCCAGTCAGCACACTCCGCACCCGTCTTGTCATCCGCCCCTTCCTCCCATCCTTGGCCCGCCTTCTGGTTCTCCTTCAACAGCATCATTAGATTCATTACCATGTAAACAGTGGGCCTGAGCCCCAATCCGGGACTCGGGATCCGCTTGGGTTGGAGTCATTAGTCAAATCGAACCAGTTTCCCTCTTTTGAGGCCCACACACCATGAAAACAGGATTGGAGAAATCTCCCTTTCCCGCATTAAGTTCGGGTGAATGCCATATAGTGTGAAAAACGGTGTGCTGACAAGAAAAACATACAACCAATCCATAGTGTGAAAAATGGTGTGACTAATAATAAACATGCAACCACTCCATAGCATGAAAAATGGAGTGCCTACTCCATCCATACTGCAAAACTCAAATTGCAAAAAATACAAGGACTAAAAGGTCAAAAGACGAGATGGAGAGTGATAACGAGTAGAAGAGGAAGGAAAAGAATCAAAGACAGAATCGCACATGTTATCAGGGCTGCCGGCACAAACATTCGGAGGGGATTAATCACCTCCTGGACTTTCGGGGATTCGGGCCCCGTTCGTCCAGCGGTTCGGAGCCCGCCAAACCCCGTCCCAGACTACAACCTAACACACTACCACTAAAATTTCGTGTTAATCTGTTGAGTAAAGAAAACAAAAAAAATCGTAGAAGATAGGGGTGCGAGGAATGAGCCCTTGTGGGGCCCTTATCAGACATGCAAGTGCTCTGGGCTGCAGCCCCCAGCTACCTCGTGCCCGCCTTAAGTAAAGGCAGGCCTGAATATCCACGTGAGACCTACTTTCCACATTTTCCATATGTGGGGTATCAGACAGTTGCAGCACGCCAGTTGGTTACAGAGCAGCATGAACCTTCAGGCTCCTTCCAGAAGCGAAGTCTGCGCTGTACAGTTGAGCCAAGGGCTCAGGAGGTTGCGCCCTGGGCACATGCTGTGTGAGGCCGACACATCATGGACTAGGCCACGGGCCAATGAGGAAGCAGCATTGTTGTCACACATGCACCGCAAGTCAATGAGAATGCTGCGAACACTTGGAGGCTGGGTGGCTGCCTGAACGTGCCCAACTGTACGAGGCCCAGGCCAGCATCTGAAACTGGGCCTGGGCAAAACTGGGCATGGGCGCAAACACTTGGGGCCAGACTGAAGCTACTGGGCCCCCACACGCCTGGCCAGGCCAGCCAGCAGCAGGCACACTTTCCATAAAGGAAAGTGTGTGCCCCCTGGCCACGGCAATCTGGCCTGCCAAGGAAATGCGTCCACGCTGCTGTGTTGTCGGATGAGCGCTGCTTAGCACTGGCAGGCCGGGGCACCTACAGGCGGTGATGAGGTGAGAGGGCACTGTGGTGGCAGTGGGCGCACAGAGACCATAGCCCAGTCGAGCGTGCGGATGCAGGCGATCGCGATGGTGGTCTTCGGGTAAGAGGCGGGTGATGAGGGGAACCAAGGGTTGATGAGGGGAGGAGAGAGAACATGTCTGGTGTATGCTGGTGGTCGGCATGGGTGTTGACGTCACATACATTGGTCTTCGACTTCAATGTGTGCCAGTCATACCAACTTAGATAGGAGAGATAGGCTGAGAAGTGTAGGCTGGGCGCTCGGCACCACACAATAGGAGTGACATTGGATACAGAGTTGGTGTGAGGAGAGAGCGTCGACATTGGCACTCGAGTTCATTGTATTGTTCTTATTTGGATGGTATCTTGGTGCATTTGTGCCCTCTGCTTGGTACATAACTATCTGGACTACTTCATGATTTCGCAACTTGGTTTTCTGTCTATCGCTCTTCGCTCATATTCCTTGCAGGGGGGTCAAAAACATTTGTAGCCCACCAAGATTTACAAAAATGAATGAGTTCAGGGCACATTGTAATTCACGGGGCCGCCTTCGCTTAGGGTCGGCACTCACCTGCTGCAGAGCATTAAAAAACACGTAGTGCGAAAAAAACACCCCTCCGCAATACATCCCAGCCAAAAAAAAAAAAAAAGAACAGAAAATTTTCAAAAAAAAGGAAAAAATATATATATTTCACATTCAAGCCGAACATGTTGGGGGGAAGGAGGGGGTCCTGAACGTTCGGGCCTTCGGATTTGGGGGCTCGGCCAAAGCCGAACACCGGCCACCCTGCATGTTATACTAATATCTTCTCCCTCCTCCTTCCTCCGCATCCCTCTTCTTCTTCTTCTTTACTCCTCTTAATAATCAATTTTAAATACAACAACAACAATTGAACGAGTAAACACTGAACAGGAATCACGTCCGAATGTTCCCCCTTACAGCCAGTAACTCACGAGAACATCGTTCAGCCCTACCTCACCTCTTCCCTCTTCGTCGCACCTAGGGCTATGGAAACACATCCATGCTCATCACGGGTGCCGAAGGACGCAAACACTACCATGCTAGTCCCATCTCCTCCCTCCATAGCCACACTCTCGGACGATTTCCGAGACCAACCAGGACACACACCAAGGAAGTGACGATGAAGGTCAACCATAGCCAAGGTTAGTCTCTCTGTGCCGTCGGTTCCTCTAACTCTCCCTCTTCCTCACCTCCTCCCTTCTACTGCACTTCTCCTTCCTCCGCTAAGGGGCAGGACAAGGCCGAACTACCTCTCCTCCTCCATAGCCAAGAAGGTCATCTACCTCACCCTCTAGCTCTAATGCTCCTCCAGCACTCTGCCCAACTTCCCCCTCTGGGCGGAGCAGCAGCATGACCACCAGATAAGATACCACTCCACTCGTTCTGCCCAAATGGTATACTCTCTACCTCGGCCTCATGGCCAATGTTCCGGGTGACTCTCCAGTGGGCTAGGCCTGCTGGGGTTCCTGCTCTCTGGCGAGAACATCATGGCAGCCTGCAAGGTTACATGGCCAGAATGTATTGGATCTCTAGATTCGGGCTTGACTACTCATATGACCTTTCTGTAAGGTGCCAGGCCTACCAGACCTTTGTTGAGCCTGCCCGAGCTACTAAAAAATCCTTGTCAGTTGCTGCCCACCTCCTACTTGGTCCCTGCCCGTCCTAACCCTACCGGTAGCCCATCCCGTCCGAATTTCACTCTTGCCCCTGTGGTTTCCTTATTACTAATCTACCCCTCCAGGGGGCACAGAAAACACTGAGCAGGCACACAGTTAGCACAATCATCACATGCGGACATACACACATGCACACACACCGCAAACTCACACAGCAAACTCACACAGCACACAGAAACTAAATCAGTCCAGCCAGCCGCAATACTCAGACAACAGCAGAAATCTCAGACTGACTGTGTGCACGTTATTGCAACAGGAAAAGAGGGCAACCAGTTGAGAAATGGCATAAAATTGCAATTAGGCACAGGGGCACAGGCCCAAGCTTAGAGACATAGGGAAATGGTATTAAGTCAGGCTTTTATCTCAGAACATGGTCAATGGTGTATAGTCGAAATAACCTAGACACTTAGCCAGGTTGCGATAACCTAAGCGCTTGGCCAGGTTGAAATAACCAAAGCACCTGGCCGGTTCCTTTTCACAATCCAGCTAGGTAGGGGCCTTGGTGGTTAGCACAGAATTGGTATCACACATAAAGACAGAAAACACGGAGTCCCTCACATCTGATTCATGAACAGGAGGGAGTAAGGAGTCCCTAAAGCACAACCCTGAAGTCCATATGGTTCTTTTCATCTCGTGAGCAACGATGCATAAACTAGGGTCAACCTGGTAAAACACATGTGCAGAGGGCATATACAAGAACAGAACGGCATGGTGCGCTGAAGGGACGGTGGAAGACTTACATGAGCAGAGAGACTGCCATCAAGCCTCTGAGCTTGTTTCGTTCTCTGCAGTTGGATCCGTTTCAATGTCACAGATGTGCGTAGCTCCGCTGTTGACACCCATGCACTGTACAAGGCTGTCTGACAGAAGAACAGGTCGAATTCAGTCAGATTCACGTGAAGCAGTGCAGATCACACATGCCATTAGTGAATAAACACTACATGAGATTATTTCAATTTATTTGACGATATCTACAACACAAGTCCAGTGATATGGTGTGGAAGTAACAC